GCCATTATTCAAGGTACCGTCACTTACCTTAGCAGAGACTGTTAGAATTTAGTTTATTTGAGTTCTCCAGTGTATTTAAACCATATTTGCATTTGAGGTAAATTTAGCAGTATTGCTATAAAGGCTTACTTCTGAGCTGATGAAATCATTAGTTCTGAAAGTAATTAATTCATAAATAATGCATTGTCCCAAGTCCTACAGGAAGACAAAGCACAAGAAACATAACTTACCTGGGTCTCACTGTTTATGGACACTGACATCAAGCCAGCAATGACACAACTTGTGCAGGATGGCTCTTCTTCCTATAATAACCATTTAAACTTGGAGAGCCTCTCTGTGGGCACTTTACCCCTTTAGTCTGGAACCACCACAACTGGCTGGGGAATGGAGACTTTCCGCTTGGAAAGGGGAAATGACATGGAGAAAGTCAGTGTGGCCACATACCCATTTCCTCCTTTCTTTAGAGACTAGTTTGCACTTTTCAATTGGTTTGCAGTTGTGGTTTAGAGAGAACAAGACCTGTCTTCAGTCACTGTCAGTATTCAACACTCAATGTATAAACTGCTGTTAGGAAAAAACATCATTTTATGACAATCTGGTGGCAAAGAAAAATGTAATACATAGAATCATAGAATCACAGAATGGTTTGAGTTGGAAGGGACCTTAAAGATCATCCATTTCCAACCCCCCTGCCATCAGCAGGGACATCTTCCACTAGACCAGGTTGCTCAAATACATCCATACTGAGAAAAAGTTAAGAATGTCACAGTCCCCAAAATAATCCAACGTTATTCTTAATATATTTGAAGTGGAGAAATAATGCTTAAAACATGAAGCACCATCACGAACTGGCCAGGAGCCCTGTGGGAGCAGAGTCGTCTTTGTTGAACAAATGTTGGGGTACAAGATTTCCATGAGAAGGAGAATGAAAACTGAATTCTTCCATGGGAACAAAAGAGATGAGATTATGGAAGCTTAAGCGGACCAAAATATAAATCCAGGAAACCCTTTCCACTTTCAGGATTGTACTTCTATGTAAGAGAAATTCTTACTGGTAGGAGTGCAGTGTAAACAAGTATTAGAGGTCTGGAAATGGGTAGATTATAACTTGAATTGTTCAGCCTAGACATAAGAATGCTAAACTCCAAAGACAGTGGAGGATGTCTGACAGACATTACTTGAAATACAAATACTGCTAAGTACTGAAGTGTTGCTACTTTTCCATTCAAAATAGGTCTGATTATTGACGCTTTTGGTGAATTAAGAGACCAGCAAGAACAAGTGAGAGAAGATATGGAGGTATGAGTAAGCACACACTACATTTTTCATTAATCTTCATCTAGATTGTTATCAGTTAAAATAGTGTCTTTGGGCTAAAATTAATTTATAACCACAACTTGTGTTTCCAGACCAAATGTTTTATTTGTGGAATCGGCAATGACTATTTTGACACAACCCCACATGGCTTTGAAACACATACCTTGCAAGAACACAACTTGGCCAACTATCTGTAAGTATATTTTACTTCTGGCATTACGATAAAGAGAACTTTCAGCTCCAGAGTAATTTAGGCTCACACATTGCAGACAATCCTGAGACAGAATTCTGTAAAAGTGAGGAATATTCCTGAAAGATAAGCTACAAAAAATAATGTAAAAGTCTGATCCCAGAGTTCTTTAATGATAGCACATCTTTCTGAAACCTTGAAGCAGTCAGGAGTTGTGTTTAGACTATTGCCCAGACTCCCAATGCAGTGATCTTCTGCTTTCATTAGTAAATACAGAGCAGATCACAGAGGATATTTAAAAAGTTAATTTGATGGCATTTAGTTACTCATACAACAATGATAATCATATGAGCATTGTGCCAGCAGAACCAAAGGAGCTGAACAGGTGGTATCTTATACCAAAATCTTACACTAAAGTATTCCAAAGTCTGGCTTTGGAATACTGGAACTGGACTTTTTAAATTAAAAAAAAAAAAGAAAAAAAAAAAAAGCAAGCATGGCTGGAGTGGAGGCTGCGTTATTCCTTGCATAGCAAATGACACTGCAAAATCAATTCACATTACTTTTGTGAGGCAGATTTTCATTAACATCCATAGTTTTACCAGTTTACAACCTCCAAGCTTTTCTTACTATATTGAATTGCTTAATTGTGAACCTGTAATTCACAGCAAATTAAAAATGGCCATTTCCTTTATATTAGAATATATAGTGAACAATCTTTCTAACCAAGTTGCCCTTTAATTAGACAAACATTAACATCAGTATAACGTCAGTATAAGCACGTACCAAGCTTAATTCCAAATGCACTGCATTGAAAGTGGCAAACCAAGAGTTGTGCTACGTATAAACAGACCATCGTTAGTCCTCTGCAGCCTTCCTAATTAGTTCCAGCTCTCTGCCTCTGAGTTACCCCGGTACCTGAGACAGAGAGGCTCAGCGTATGAGCTGTACAGCACAAGTGTTTGGAAATCTTGGCGCAGCTGAGTATTTGCCACACTCCTAACTGCTTGCATAGTAGCCATAGTAACATCTTCCAAGGTGAGATGTCGGAGCATATGTGTATAGGAGCTGGCATATGCCTGATTCAGGTATTGCTCCTAGCACGGAAATTAAGAAAATGCTAAACCACATTTTTCCACTTCTACAGATTTTTACATCTGTTAGCACTTCCACAGGAGAAGTGCTGGAGGAGTGAATTTTCTCCTTTAACATGAGCACTTCAGACACCTAGCAGTGTCATTACTTTGGTGGTTGGCATAATCTCCCTCACATAGCCCAGTCTGGGAGAGGTTTGGCAGAGATGGTACATTTCCTGCATTAATACCCACTTCATGTGCTTGTTTCAGGTTCTTTTTAATGTATCTCATTAACAAGGATGAAACTGAGCATACTGGCCAGGTGAGTAGAAAATAATATTATCTTTGAACTTTTTTATCTTCTCCAGCCTTGTAGCTCTGTACCACCAGGTGGAACTGATGTACCACCAAGGAGTGGAGATGATGCCACCCCTCCCTGAGAGTCTTCTGCAAGTGAAGGAAAAGGAAGGGTTAAAAAAGGGAGGGGGTGGGCTGCAGCAGTGTGCTGTTCCACCCAGCACTGACCTCTGTCAGAAGGCAGTTACTAATTATCTTACTGTAATTTCAGCTCTGAAATGAAACCCTGAAATATACAGTTGTAGTTTACTCCCAAAGGATTAAGTAGTTAAGCTACTATATTTATAGTCTAAATCCACATAGGTGTATATATAGATAAGTATATGGATGTCTGTATGTTTAGTGTTGTTAGGCTTACGTAAATAAATAAGAAAATAAATAGGATTTAACTATATCTTATTTCAAACAAGCTGTTATGCAAACCCTACAAAAGTACCTTAACCATCAATGTTTTCCAAGCAAACAAAACCCCATTTTATATATACAGATTGTGTACAGTTGGCTTTGATATAACTGACTGCTTAATTTACACTTACACAGTTTCTCTAATAGGTCTTAGATTTCAGTAGCACTGAATCAAAAGTGCAGAAGACTTTTACAAATGTTCTTGAGTTACGATCTTTGAGTTGCAGTGTCTTCACAGTTCTGCTCCGGGGCAATGGGGGCCGTACGTGGTTATTATGAAAAGTTTATCTAGAGCACTGACTGCAAGGTGTCTGTTAAAATAAATACTCTTTATCATTTTCAGGAGTCATTTGTGTGGAAGATGTACCAAGAAAGATGTTGGGATTTTTTCCCAGCAGGGGACTGCTTCCGCAAACAGTATGAGGATCAACTTGGCTAATATCACAAAAGAAATTATTTATTCATGAACTGTTAAGATCTAGTATAAAAAAAAAATCTTTTCTTTTCATGATGTAATTTCATAGCTTGTATTTGTTTTACATGTCTTTAAACTTCAAGACATACATAAAATTTGACACTATTTCATAGGCTTTTTGTACCTACCACATATGAAACGTATCTTTTTGTTGGAATTCTACTATGCCAGATTAACTTAAGCCTTCCAGTTAAAACGTGGTCGGAAATTATAACAACTTTTTAATGACATAATATCCTAGTGTTTGGAAGTACAGTTGAAAGGGCTAAAAGACGTCTTAATTGCACATCTGACATTTAAGAACTTGAACATCAGAGGCCATGCCTCAGAAAAAATAATTTACCTAACTGCTGTCCAGTTTCCCCCCAGAATTTGCTAGTGAATGTATTAAGATACAGCTTGAAAAGCTTTAAGCAGTTAAAAAGAAAACATTTTCAAACACTTCGTCAACCTTGAAACATTAAGTGCCTTAAAACCTCTGTAGACATAGCTATGCAAACTTTTTATTTATGTTAGATCCATTAACTGTATTGCTTTTCTGTCTTTCTGTATGAAACTGCACTTGAAGTTTGTTTATATACTACCTTCAATAACAGCTTATTAGATGCTGCTGTTAAAAGACATACACTGTATCAAAATGAATACAATTTAAATCTTAGGCCAAAATAAAACAATGCTCTATGGTCACCTGCAAGTAGAAGCTGCTAGGATTATGCATTTTTTTTTTTCTTCTAATAAAAAGTGCCCACTGCAATAAAGTATTATAAACCAAATCTTACCTTGGCTGGCTTCTTTCTGATTTTTCTACAATATGGAGATGTGGTGTGAGGATGGTGACTAAAAACACATTTATTCATTATTCATTCATAGCTTTATTTTAAGGAGTACACAGAGCAAGTACAAGCTGAAATAACTCTTCTCTTAGAGTGCTGTAGCCTGCGTCTTTAGCAAAGAAAATCCTAATTTCATGACAGATTTTAGACCTTAGTCTTTGACAATTTTCAATCACATCTAAATGAATTTTGGTTTCACAGAATTTTAGGTGCCAGCAAAGAAAACCAGGCATTTGGCATACTGAACAAAACAGATAAAGGAAATAACGAGGAGGTAAATGAAGTGTTTATTTCATTTCCATTTCGTGTTTGCTATATTCAGTTATTCACATAAGAAAATCTGAGCTTCAGGAAATCATGCTGTCCAGCCAATCTTCGAGCTCTTCCTCAGTAACATTTTTAGCTGCACTTTGCTGTTGCTGTGATGCTGTACTCTTCTCTTCAGGCACATCTAGCGTTAAAGCATCTAGAAAAGTGAAAAGAACATACTTGAAAATCTGGAAACAATTCCATACCAGCTCTTCATCCTGGATCACTTTGCTTTTGAATGCACAACTGACTCTAAACATAATCTCTCATTCTAGAAGAATAGCAAGTCATATTCCAAAAATAGTAGCAACAATTAAAAAAAAAAATGAGGCAGCTTAATAAGCTCACCCAGAGCAATGTGGCTTCTATCTGATTCAAGGCAGGCAGTGCCTGTCTGCAGCAGACAGCTTGTAAGTGATCCCCCTACTGCGACCTGTTTGCAATCCTGTCCCATGCAGAGTTTAACGCAGGAGAGGAGCAGGAGGCCACAGCAGCAGATCGCCCGTGTGATTATTACAGCTTTGAATGAGTCCATATTCTAATGGCAATGTTTTCTTAAGGAATTTACACAAAGCTTAACATATGCCATGGAAATGAAAGAGGATTTCAAGATTGTCTTCACTAACAAAGCTTGCTGTATTGCTTGTGCTGGCATCTTATATGTTCAACCATCTTGGACTTAATTTTTAAGATAGCAAGAAAATTGTACACAAAAAAATCACAGATGCTAAAAATTCTTTTACAGCACCAAGGACTGGGGAGGAGTAGCAAACCATCTCCATCAACTTCTAGGAATGTAAATAAAAGAAAAAGTTTGCTCATTTTTCTGAAACACAAAAATTTTTTACTATGTTTTGTTGCCATATTGTAATTTTGTAAAATCAATGCTAGTAAAATTTGAAATTAGCATTTATAATAAGCCTTTGGAAATAGCTGACAGTTCTTCTGTATACTATTAGCACAGTGAACTAAGGGCTGATATTGTAACATAAAAACTTTATTTTATCCTCCTCTCACTAAAATTCTCTAGTAGTACAGTATTTTTTTTTTTATTTAAAATTTTGCTGAATCATAAGACCAGTGCTGTTCTGCAGAAGAATTTCTCTTAATGCTTAAAATGCTGAGTCAATGCTGAGACTTTAGTTCAGTGGGGAGTTAAAAATGAAAAGGAACAAATGGGTTAGAACATAGCCCCAGAAAAGTGAAATGCGGTGTGACAGAGATGGGGACAGCAGTACTGGAGACTGGCTAATCAAGAGTTCAAAAACATCACCACAACAGAGAGCAATGGAAATTAAGTAAGGGCATGCTGGGGAGAAGAGAAATCTTACTGTTTTCCTTGCAATCCATTTTCAAGTCTTTCTCAGTTGATATGTTGTAGGATAATGCACCCGACGCAGGTCTGTTTTCTGTATCAATGGGAGCATCTAGATTGAGGAGGCGATCTAGTTCTTCATCCAAATGGTCAGTCTCTTGCTTTGATAGTGGCTGGGCTCTCTGAAATGGTTCTGCTGCACATGCCCTAGGACTGTTTTTACTTCCAGGCTCTGATAGAACAACAGAATCACCAACAGGATGGGAGACCAACACCATTTCACTTTGAGCCAGAGACTGTCGGAACAGAAGCTCTCTCTTCTTGCCGTCTTCAAGGATTTTAGACTTCATCTGTGGGAGTTCTACAGGTGTTGATGCCTAAGAGTACAATACAAGAGAGGACTTGAGTCTTTCTAATCATTAAGTCCATTTTTATTATTCTGTCTAATTTGGATTCTTATTCATGCTTCCTACATTTGACCACTTAAGAAGGTACAATGAATTTCAATAGAATTGAATTCAGAAGTAAAAGTTACCTTGATACTTTTACAGAAGCAACTAAAAAATACAAAGTCCTTTTATCCCTTATTATGGAATATGAGATTATATGCTAAATCAGCAAGGTCCATTGTTTCATAAATACTTCCTGGAGAATACTTCCTTTTCTTTCATTCTTCTGTAATGAAATCCCGCCAATACTCTGAATTTTAGAATTACTCAAGTCAGAATTTGGCTAGAAATATTATGCCATGTTGGGCCTTCCTGCCAAAATTCCAGTCTTTAAAGCAAACCACACTACAGGTCACTGAAAATCATTTAGCAAAAGTTACGGTATACAGCTGTATATTTTGAAAAATGAAACCAAATTACAAAACACTATAAAATAGTGAGACAGGAAATGGCAACTCATTATTTAACTGTGGAACACAGATTCTGCCTTTATCAGGATGCCTTGGCATTAATAACACTGCAGCATATCTGACGACCACATCACCGGTCAGAATGACAAGACAAAGATTAAATGTCATAACACATCCTTTGTAACCTGATAAAAGTTAAAGACTGTGACTAGAATTCTTAAGAAGAAAATTGCATTTGAAAGTAACATTTATTCGCAGATTCCCTTAGACATCACATCTGCAGACACATTTGAGCTCCCTTAAGAAAGAGCATGGTTGTGTCAGTCACAGAAGCACTTCATGTAGGTTCAAAAAGGTTCCTTGCTTGAGCATATGTATTTTTTTAAAGAATTTTGATTTAAGTGTCATTTGTTCTTTTGCCCTTACATAAGAAACATTTTTTCCTACTACTTTGTTGCTTTTTTTTTTCTTTTTCGCCAGAGCATAAATGACATTTTCTTTGCCTGTTTGATTGACAGTTCTACCTGTTCTAACACAGATGCAAGTCTGAGTCATGGAGTAAACATGTATGTTGATACTAGCTACGCAGAAGAGTAAAATCACAATTAAAATAATTAACAGGAAAGAATGTGAAAGCACTTCCAAAATTTTGGTGCAAGCTTTGAACAGCTGCTAACAAGAGAAGCAAATACAAAAAGAGTGCGATCATTCCATGGCGAACACGCTGATACCTGGCTTCAAATCTAATGTGCTGCACATCAAAGCATTTTGTTTAAAGCCAACAAAGCATGAAGAGTGCTGATAGAGGGGTATCTTGCATCACACACCATTTGACATGCCATGCTCAATAAACATATTTACTTCTCAAATACATTCTACTTATGTTTGAAGACCAAGTTTAAAGTAATCATTCTTGCATAGATTGTTTCACTAAAAATATTTGCATTTTCTTGTGAAAATTCACAGCGTTACCTGCACAAGTTCACTGGACATTCAGCCGCACATGTAGAGGCAATTCCTGAAGGGCCTGGACCAAAACCTGGCAGTCAACTGACAGTGCAGACAACTGAAATATAATTCAACACACAGTACACTTGTATTAGAAAATATATAAATTAATAATTACTTTAATCTATTGCATTCCCCTGTTCCACACATTCAAAGAATGTGAATAACGATCTAATAAAATACAGAAGTTCATAGTTTTAAATTAAAAAAGCACAAAGCAGTTTGGCTAAATTACCATATAAACATCTACAATGCAAATCATCACTTAAGGGTTTAAAAACAAGGTGTAAATGCTCCTTAGGCAATGCATTAAAAATCCAAAGTAGGAAATAGTTCTGCAAGTTGACAATGTCATATGTCATAAAAAGGTTTTGGCAACTCCAACATCTTTTAATCTGTGAAGCTTTCTATGCTTTCTTTACTGAGTTGCTGTTTTTCTGAGCAATCATGTCATGGAGCTTGTGTGCAGCTCTACTGGTTTTGGTGCCTAAACAACACGGCCCTTTTTATACTTCCCCATCTTTTAAAATGTTGTTTCAATGCTTACAAAAGCAAAATACTATAGCTGCATATCCTTCTAAAATTATATTCAAGAAAGATATTCTACTGGTGCCTAGTTGCTTAAAAGGTAGAACTGTCACTTATTAACATGACAGGTATTTAAGTTTCCTTTTCTTTTGACCTCCTTTTTTTTTTTGTCTGTAAACTATTAAAAACATATTTACACAAAATGGACCAGCAATATTTGATGTTTTAACAGAACACCCTGGACTTTCGTAGATTTCAGGCTCACAGTATATTCTGAGCACGTTCACCATCAATGAAAAAAGATAATTTGATATCCATCATATTTTTAAATGTGACAACAAAATGTTTAAGTTCAGTCAATACTCTCATTTTCATGGAAGCAGAGAAACTGCTTCTAAATCCAGCTTAGACTGACACAGACATTTAGAAGTCTAAATACTCATAAATTAGGAGAGAGTGTTTCATGCCATATCATAAGAGATTTGTCAAAAGAATTCACACTGTTCCCAAAAGCCAGTCAACAGGAAGGCTTTTGACACCTGCACACACAGCAAGAATGAACATCAAAGACATAATATGTCTGATAGCATATTTACAAAATTAAAATAAATTTTAAAAAGAAACAATGCAGTTGGTTTCACGGTTTCTTGTATCCAAATTCTGACTCTGGTATCCAGTAATGAGAGTAAAAGGACCAAATAACTTAAATCTCTGATGGTTAGAATTTTTTTCCTTTACTAACAGCTTTATTTTACAATGGATTAGTGATTGCCATCCAAGATGATTCACTGGTACAAGTAACCTCAAAAAGTCTTCAACAAGCAATTCTTGTTGCCCAGCAATGACCTACAACTTCAGAAAACCCAGTTCTTTTTTTCAGATAGTGAAGATCAAATATGGCTTCTGCACATTTGCAAAGGACAAGGACATTGTAAAAAGTCAAGTATCATTGAATAACATTTAAGTGCATTTAGGAAGAGCTGAGTACACTTGCAAAAAGATTAGTTTGAATAAACATTGTGAATGAAGGTGAAAATGGAGCCAGGGAAGAGAAGGAAAGGTGAGGATGAAGGAAAAGAGGAACTTGGAGAAATAACATAATAGCAGAAGGAATTCAATATCCAACTAGAGATTTAACTAAAAGTGGTGTTTGCATTAAAAAGTAACCAACCCCACAACAAAAAACCAAAGGGATCCAAGTAGTATTTCATAAATTATAAACACTTCATGGCACATGTAGCTGTTTGTTCAAGAAAATAAGTAGAGGCATATTTTGTGGTTGGAATAACCATTTTTTTGCTTAAAAATTCCAATGAATATTACCTGTTTGATTTTTAAATTGCAGACAGTGTTCTAGAACATTTTTTTAACTTTATCACTATACAGTAAACCAAATCCAGATGTACTTTTTTAACAAAGAATGATAATATTCTTAATAAACTGGAATTTCATTACTGTGATGTTATTGTTACATTTTCATTCCATATGTGAAACTGATGGTTTGCCATTGCTTTCTACAAATAATAGGGAATGGGAAATATCTAGTAATTCTGCAAATATTTTTATGCCTTTTATGCTTTACTTTGTTCCATCATAATCACTTCAGTTTACAATTTTCTAATCTTGTACATAATGTAAAGACAGGCAAAGAACTAGAAACAAGTGAGCAAGGAGGCAAAGGCAAGGAATTTGGCAAAGTGGATGAAAATGAGACCTGGATCCAGTTTTCAAGGAAAAGAAAGATAGACTAGAAACAAACAGGAGATAACAGAAGATCAGAGACCATGCTAAACTAGATAAGGTTATGAAACCATCTGGGTCAGGATTCTGGACTAAAGAAAGAAACCAAAAGAAGGGCAAGTGTAGGGTCCTTCACCTGGGGAGGAATAACCTCGGGCACCAGTACACGCTGGGGGTTGACCTGCTGGAGAGCAGCCCTGCAGAGAAGGACCTGGGAGTACTGGTGGATGACCAGTTGACCACGAGCCAACAATGTGCCCTTGTGGCCAAGAAGGCCAATGGTCTCCTGGGGTGCATTAACAAGAGTGCATTAACAAGACCACGAACCAAGAATGTGCCCTTGTGGCCAAGAAGGCCAATGGTCTCCTGGGGTGCATTAACAAGAGTGTGACCAGCAGCCAAGGGAGGTGATCCTCTCCCTCTACTCTGCCCTGGTGAGGACACACGTGGAGTACTGCGTCCAGTTCTGGGCTCCTCAGTTCAAGAGAGACAGGGAACTTCTGGAGAGAATCCAGTGGAGGCTATAAAGATGATTAAGCGGCTGGAGCATCTTTCTTACAAGGAGAGGCTGAGAGAGCTGGGTCTGTTTAGCCTAGAGAAGAAAAGACTGAGAGGGGACCTTATTAGTGTTTCTAAATATCTAAAGGGTGTCAAAAAGATGGGGCCAGACTCTTTTCAGTGGTGGCCAGTGATAGGACAAGGGGCAATGGGCACAAACTGGAACACAGGAGGCTCCACTTCAGCATCAGGAAAAATTTATTTACTGTGAGGGTGTCAGAGCCCTGGAACAGGCTGCCCAGGGAGGTTGTGGAGTCTCCTTCTCTGGAGATGTTCAAAACCCGCCTGGATGCAGTCCTGTGCAGCTTGCCCTAGGTGAACCTGCTCTGGCAGGGGGGTTAGACTAGGTGATCTCCAGAGCTCCCTTCCAAGCCCCACCATTCTGTGATTCTGTAATGGCGACTAGTGCAGTGAACTGACATGAGAACAATGAAAGACAGGAAACAGTTTGATACAACAAATTTGGATGAGGCAGGAGGAATGACTACAGTTTGGTAGGGACAGAGGCAGAAGAGTGTGCCCACCACAGCACACTTCACAATGAGTGAGAGTGTGAGACCAGCTCCAAACTGCGGTCTCACCACTGACAGCCAGAATCTTTGTGAAATCCTCTGGCAACGTGGAACTTCACTCTGCTCACAATAGCTTTAGCCATTCAGAAACTAATTGATGTGTTCAAATCACCTGAAAGCTATAATCACAAGTCTATGAGGAAATGGTGAATAAATTAATATTCTGGATACTGACATCCTGCACATTAGGAGCGGGAGGAACTGATAAGAAAAAAATACACAGTTATTGAAAGACTGTATCCCACTGAACAAACATAGGATGGTTTAAACAAATGCTACACTTGGTTTAATTTCCTCATTTTAATTTGGCTTTGCAATTTTAATGTACCTTTAAATATCACTTCCCAGTGAATAATCATTGTTGATATTTTAGGAAATAAATAGCAAACTTTTAAAACTTGAATACGTATGTATGTTTCAGGAAACACTCAAGCACAGTTTTGCAGCAATTTTAAGAAAAGCTTGGAAGACAAAAGCATTTATCTTGCAATAATTTAGGTGACTTACGTGAGGAAGACAGCTGCCGAGATTAAGACATTTTCCAGTATCCTGATACAGAAAACAGCACTCCTACTGCTTTGCCCTCTTTTATTCCAGCATAAAGAATCCACATAGAAATAATCTAAAACCTGGTTGGGTCTCACAGTAATTTTGGAGGTGATGTTTAAACCAGAGGATATGAACTGTTAATTTGAAAGAACTAGAACAAGCTTCATAATCAAATATATGAATATACTCATATAGGTTTTGCTGTAGTCATTTTATTCAACTATTTTCTCTTGAATACAGCTGAAAAAAGAAGGCTGACTTCATACGTCAGTAAAGCAAAGTGAAAGTCCCTCAATTTTCTTTCACTGGATGGATTTGCTTCTTCTTTTCTTCCAACATTACTTAAAAAGCCTGCTGCTTTGATTAGTCTTTCATAGGGGGAAAAAAAAAAAATATAAGACCCAAGAACCTCCAGCATCAGAGACAAATTAATAAAATACACAGAATAAAGAGCGTTGTTATTATTGTATTAAACAATTTGTTGCTGAAAGCACAGTTGCCCAGGTATTCTGTGCCAGGCAATTATCCATACAAACTCATTTGAATGATAATTCTGTTACCTGTTTCTGGCACATGCTTTCTCTATCCCATTCTTTTTCATCAGCAAATCGGAACTGTGTAAAGGAATCTCCTACAGAAAAGAAATAAAAAATATTTTTTTTAAATAACAAGCTCTCTCCAAAGTGCCCAACCCTACAAAAGTAAATTCAATCAATAAATATCTCATCTTCAACAAATTTGCATTTAATTTTTATTCTGCTTGCATTCCCCATATTAAACTTCTTTAAGCCAGAGTTTTATAGGAAGATCTTTTAATCTCTTATTTGCAAACAGTACTGAAAAAGGCACAACAAATTGAAAACTGAATGAGGACGTGCTAGGTGCCATGTCAACAAGCAGGAATTTCACTGAAAAGTCCAGTCTGGGCAGCATACTAGGAATACGTACAGCATCACAGAGTGCATTTGTTATGAACAGCTTTGAATGTGCTGATAGACCTTCTCTTATCAACATACAAATCTCTCTTAAAATGGATAAGTATTTTCTTCCAATATCCCCAAGTCTCCTTCAGTTATTTCTTACACTGTGTCACAGAGGAAATAAGGACTCAAAGTAAACTAAAGGATTAGTTGAATGCTTTCAGTACCTAAGAATGACCAGAGGTAAAGCACCTAAACAAACCTACTTCATCAAGAAAATCCACTGGGATCAAGAACTGGTTTATAACTCTTCATGCTCACAAAGTTGGTAATAACAGATCCTCATTTTGATATTGTATTGCTGAATTAAAGGGTATGACTTAAACTGTAGTTTAACTAGGCTCTTTAAATAAGTTAACAAAGCATGCCTTTGAAATGGAAAAGCAATAACTACAATTCACAGTAGCACATTTAATGCAAATTAGGTTAATGAGAATGTTGGTCTAACTAATTATCTTTTCAGAAATTCCTTTACCCTGAAAATAACTTCCTTTTATGCCATGAATACTAATCAAACGTTTTGCAATGACTCTGAGTTCCTTCCAACGTAAAAAAATATTTTTCTTCATGTGAATAGTTTTTCTGTTACTTACAAATTATCACTTGGCCTTCAAATACAGAGTAGCTAAAAATAATGCATTCAAGTAAACCTCACACACCATCTCTGGTAACATTCAGAATAAGCCTTAGTATTCTTCATTGTATAAAGTGTAACTTCATTATGAAGGAATAGCAGATCTAAACACCATGCTTTCCTTCCACTTGAATATGTTTTAAAGCTAAATGCGTTCTTGATTTAAATAGAATGCATGTTTCATAGTCTCATTAGCCCAATTATCTCTTCATACAAATATTCATTGAGTAGCAGAATCAAACAAATCATACCTATAATCTGTAATAAATATATTCCAATCTAGGAAATTATGAGTCTAAAAGTCAAAAAAATTGAAGGAAAATGGTTTTCAGTAGGGAAACTAACATATCAGTGGAATGATTTTGTACATGTTAACTCTTTAATTCATTAAAAACAAAAGGCATAAAAAGTTACTGAAGACAGAGGAAAAATATTCCATAGTCTTAGAGATTTTCCATTTGGAAGAGGGGAACAAACAATGTAACAGGATCCTTCTAAGACTGCTGTGATTGTAAAGAAGCACTGCAAGAGCAAAAAAGATTGTAAACCTACTTTTTTAATCATAATTTACCTTCACCTAAATAAGCATCAATGATTTTGATAAACTTATGTGACAGTTTAACTTAGCTGGCAGCCAAAAAAGACACAGCCACTCGCAGCCCCCTGCCCCCTTCCCCCCCACCCAGGGAATTGGGGAGAGAATTGGAGGGGTAAAGGTGAGGAGACTTGTAGGTTGAGATAAGAACAATTTAATAATTAGAGTAAAACAAAATCAAAATAATAATAATAATAATAATAATGATAACAAGTATATATGAGTGATGCACAGTACATCTGCTCACCACCCACTGAAAACAATCCCGGAGGAGTGAAAAGGAACCCCGAAACCGAAACCACAATCCTGGAAAAGCGAGCCCGAGCGATTCCTGAGAGAATCCCCCCCTTTCTAGTTAATCCCAGTTAATATACTAAACATGACGTAATATGCTATGGAATATCTCATTGGCACATCCAACTGTCAGTTCTGGGATTTACTAACTACTACACTTTTCTTCTCCACTCCCCCCTTCCAGTCCTCTGCTCTTGGAAACTGCCCAAGCACAGTGTCCTTGCAGTTATCAACACTGTTCTCATAACAATCCTTGCTGAAACCAAAACACAGTGCTTTCTAACTACTAAGAAGAAAATTAACCCTATCCTAGCAAAAACCAGGACAACTTATCAAAGTTTTTCCAACCTTTGTTCATCTCTCATTTATTCTGTTTTGGGAATTCAAGACTCTTGTCTACAAGTCTGTTCAGTCAGCTAGATAATATGCAATAAATTTATGATGGTGGTATGCAGCTGAACCAAATAAACTACAACAGAAAACTACAACTTAGCTACATTTGGAAAATGAATAATGAGACCTAAAATATCTCAAAAAGTACGCTCCATCTACTACACTAGTCGAAGTTCTCCCTGAGTTACTAAATTGAGAAGACCGTCTCCAAAGAAAGTCCATCTTTAGAACAGATTTTAAGCAATTTTGCAAGTTTAATTTGCAAGAGATCTCTTTCTCTCTATATTGATCCCCAGTTCACCAGTATTTATGAAGGATATAACATGAAAACAAGCTACCTGCCTGTTCCACCAGTCGTCTTCATGGGTTGCAATAATGCAGGAAGAAACAGATATTATTTTTTAAGGTGAAATAAAGAAGTAGATCCTCCAATCTAACACTCTTCTGCAGGGAAAAACAATCTGAATTGCAGAGTTTAGGCATGAATGATGCTTGAAATCTTATCCAACACCAGTGGTTCATACACGACCGACCAACCCTCTTGAGGAGTCAGGGGTAAGATAAGCAACATATGCTTTCCCTTTTAATAGTGCAAGACTTCATGTAGAAGGTCCAAGGGAAGAAAGGAATCTACAGATCAAAGAAAAGGTGGGCAACTACTAAGTCATTAATTTTAAGCTAATTTAAGAACACAAAGAGAAAACTAAAGCTTACCAGTGTTACTGGTAAGCTCCAGGTGGAGTGAACTTTCTCAA